CCTGTCCCAGAATGGGGTTGACATGCACCTTGCATGTGGATCTTTATAGAGGCCAGGGGACAGGAGAGAAGAGCTTCATCTTGTGTGGAAGGCTGGGCCAGCACACAAACGAACAGGCCTCTGAGCCCAGTGCTAGGGCCCCCTGCCTCCAGGAAGACCTCCTCCCCAGCTCCCCTTCTCCATCCTCCCCTCATCTAGCCTCTCCTGCCTTCCTGCAACTGGAGACCTGGGCTTCCTGGAACAATTCACATTGATTTTGCCCAGAAAAGCATTATGAGGCCTGAAAACATCACAGCTGCAAGGACCCAAGCATCATCTCCAAAAGAGCTTCTCACTTGCGTGGGAGGAACCCTTGCTCATGAGTCTTGGGAGTTTAGAAAAGGTGAACCCAAGGCCTGCGCCTTGTGGAGTCTCCAGCCCTTTTGCTGGGACTCAGCACAAATCTAGGGTGCCGAGTTTCCAGCTGGAATGGCCTCTGCTCCCAGCAGAAAACTCCCTGGCCCATCGTCTGGGCACTTTCCTGCAGTATTTGACCAGTGCTGCAGTCAGATGAACTCAGTCTCCCTAACTGGGGGAGAAGGATACCCCACTGATAGGAAAGGATTTTTGTTTGTTTGTTTGTTTTTTAGTTGGAGTCTCACTCTGTCACCCAGGCTGGAGTGCAGTGGCACATTCACGGCCACCCCAGCATCGACTTGCTGGGCCAGGCCATCCTTCCACCTCAGCCTTCCAAGTAGTAGGAACTACAGGCACATGCTACCTCACCCGGCTGATTTTTTTATTTTATTGTAGAGACGAGGTCTCACCAAGTTGCCTGGGCTGGTCTCGAACCCGTGGGCTCAGGCAATCCATTTGCTTCAGCCTCCCAAAGTGCTGGGATGGCAGGCTGAGCCACTGAGCCTGGCCAGGAAAGGGTTTTATGTGGCAACCGCCCACCTCACATCACTAGGGAAGCTTATTTTAGTCCTGCCATGGTTGGCCTTTTTCCCAGTGAAAGGTGGATCTCCTTAACTGGTGGTAGACGGCAGAGGAAGGCAGAAAGGAAGGGCTGGACTGGGACTGGGGTTCACAGGTCATCTTGGGGCATCTCTGCTCAGTAACCTACTTTGTTTTGGAGGTACCATGAATATTTCTCTCAGGGCTCTGGAAAAGAATTGGCCTCAGAGACACCTGTCAGAGTCCACTGGATCAATATGTTATTTTATTTTGTTTTTTGAGTTGAGATCTCACTCTGTCACTCAGGCGGGAGTGCAGTGGCACAATCAGGGCGCAACACAGCCTCAACCTTCTGGGCTCAGGTGTAAGGATCTGAGCCCAGCCCACTAGATTAATATGATGTGAAAAACATTGAGGGAGGTTGGCGGGAAGGGGTTTCACAGGAAGGGAGGGCGGAAAATCACCTACTATGAGCTAGGTTTAAACCCCTGAGAGACAGAGCTCGGAGAAACAAAGTAACTTCTGCAGGCCGCCAAGCCAGTGAGTAGGGGTGGCCCAGATGAGGGCCCGTCACCGTCGGACCCCAAAGCCAGGGCTCCTCGGGGACAGGAGTAGGTATGGAGCGAGCAGCTGACCACCTCTTCTCTCCCCAAGGTCTGATTCCGGCCACCCTCCACCTTCCTCCGGGGCTGGCGGACCCACTGGCGATCAGACGGCGGCGGCCCAGACAATGGCGCTCTGTCCCGGGCGCTCGGGACGACAGCTCATCCCTATGCGGCGGCCGCCCCCCCACGGACCGGCCGCCAGCCCTTTTCAGGCCGTGGAAGCCAGGCGGCGGCGGAGGGGGTTCTCACAGGCCGTTGGGCATTTGCATAGCCGGCTCGCCCCGCCGGAGACATTGGGCCGCTTTGTTCCCGCGGCGGCGGGCGCACGGGCCGGGGCGCGCGGGGCGGACCGG